TATAACGGTCGCAGGGTCCTGGGATCACATGATCCCCTTTTGCGACCTGATAAGCAAAATCAACAGGGGAAGCCAGATTCGCTTAACAGCTGCGCAAATAACTTATCAACTGCAGTGATTCACTTAGCAACTGTGGCAAGAAAGGTTGTAAAATGGGGCAAAACTCAACCGATTTCTCACTTAGCCACATAAATGCTGGGCTCAGTTGTGGTCATAAGTTGAGGACCTGTGTTATTTTTGTGTGTCTGTGTGTATCTGTGCATATTTGCATCTATCTATCTATATCCAAATCAAAAGTAGATTCTGTAAATACTGTAGTTTTATACAGATGGTCCTCAAGTTACTACTTAAGGTCACCTTAGGGCCTAGGACATTGCAGCCGTCATAATTACAGGCAGTCTTTGTCTTATGTCCACAACTGAGCCCCAAATTTCTGTTGCTAGGTGAAAAATTTGTGAAGTGAATTTTACCCCATTTTACGACCTTCCCTTGCCTCAGTTTTTAAGTGAATCACTGCAGTTGTTAGCAACATGATTGTTAAATGAACCTGGCTTCCCCAGTGTCTTTTTTTGGTAAAAACTTTGCAAAAGGTGAGTCACTTGACCCCAGGACACTGCGACCATCATAAATAAGAGTCAGCTGCCAAGAGTCTGAATGTAAATCACATGGGGATGCTGCGATGGTCATAAGTGTGAAAAATGGTCATAAGTCCCTTTTTTCAGTGCCATTGTAACCACAAACGGTCACTAAATGAATGGCTGTACGTCTGCCTGTGTTTATTTCTCACGGAGCGTGAAAATGTCTAGCCCCGCGGATTCGAAATACGAAATAGGTGGTTTGATCAGACATCTTTGCAAAAAAATAATTTGTAGGTATTAGTTGAGTAGTTGTGGTCATGTTTTGCATGTAGTATGCAATTAACACCTCCACAGACATTTTAGTCTTACATTTATCTGTTTTATCAACCTTGCATGCCACCCATCTTAATAACAGAGTCAGAAGGGACCTTGGAGGTCTTCTAGTCTAACCCCCTCCTCAAGTAGGAGACCTTATACCGTTCCAGACATTTCGGACGTCCCACAGACATTGAATAAGTTGCAATGTAAAATATTAAAAGAATAAAGATCTTGAATTGAAAAAAAAAAAATCATTTAAAAACTAAAACCTTGATCAGATGAGACAGGGAGCAAGATGCTCGGAGCGAGGAGGTGAGGTGTTCTCTATCCCATTGGCCACCATTTACACATAGAATTCGTTACCTCAAAAGCCATTCGTTTAATGACTGAAGTTGCCGCAGCTCCGAAGAGAGGGATTTACGACCATTTTTCACTCTTGGGACTATCGCAGCCTCCCCAGGGTCACGTCATCTCAATCTAAATTCAGACGCTCAGACGCTGGCTCCTATTTATGACGGTCGCAGCTTCCCGGGGGGGGGGTGTTACGTGGACCCCTTTCGCGACCCTCCACCAAGCGGAGTAAGGGTCGCCAAAGAGGAAGCCAGACTCACCGCCCAGTTTAACAACTGCGGTGATTCACTTAACAACTCTGGCAAGAAAGGTTGTAAAACAGAGCAAGACTCACTTCACTTTCTCACTCAGCCGTGAGGTAAATGCTGAGGACTACCCACACGTATAAGGATTCTCTCAAAGAGCGACAGGAATCTCCCCGAGACTCCCTGTTTAATAAGTGAAACGTTTTTGCCTTCTAACCATCTTGTTTTGTCTGTACCGCATTTGACCGCCTCTTGCCGGTAACAGCTTGTACTTAGGTTGCGTTTCCTGGCTGTCCTGCCATGAATAATTTAAAATTATGGGGTTTTTTAAAAACAACAACAACAACCAGCTACTCCGCTTCGGAGTAAACAAGGAAATACTACGATATGTTAATATTTTATTACATGGGCACTTCCTTGTGGGCTTCCAGAAAAGGACTCGTAAAATGTGTTTGTTGGTCCGAAATGTAATGTATTGATTTTGCGGGAAGGGTTGCGTCATCTTTGTACGGTATACATCACTCTTTGCAGCAAAGAAAACAGCTTTTGTCATTCCATAAAGGCTGGCCTTGCCCAAGGGGAAAACCCTGGATTAGATTGGCAGAGATGAGTTCAAGTGCTGCCTTAGCCATGAAAGGCAGCTGGGTGGCTTCCAGTCAATCTCAATCTCTCTGTGTCTCTCCTTCCCTCTTTTCTCTGCCCAAACTATCTCGCAGGGTTGTTGTTTTGGGGAAAACGGGATGAGGAAGCTGTGTCGGATACATTCGCTGCCTTGAGTTATTTGTGAGAATACTAAAAATAAAACAAAATAAATAACCAGAACGTTATTTAATGTCTGTTCAAAGTTACAGTGGTAGCTTCTGACTATTTTTCACATCATTGCTGCATCCCCCAGGGCCTCGTGATCAAATTTCAACTGCTTGGCAACTGACTTGTATTTATGACGGTCGCAGTGTTCCTGGGGTCATGTGGTCCCCTGGATTCACTTAGCAACCATGTGACTAATTTAACAACTGCAGGGATTCACTTGTGGCAAGACAGGCAGTAAAATGGGGCAAAACTCACTTAACAAATGTCTCATTTAGCTACAAAAATTTTGGGCTCAGCCGTGGTCGTAAGCCGAGGACCACCTGTGTATCAACATAAGACCTGGTTTCCTGATGTGACGTTGACTGTGGTCAGCATGTGATACCTGAGCAATAATAATTTCCCCTGTTTCGTCATGTGAGAAAATGACTAGCCAGATGGTAAATAGGTGACTTGCTCAATGAATCATGAGCTCAAAACAATATGCGTGTGTATATATTTGTAATATCTAACATCCTCCTTTGATGTTCATTTTCTTGTGCTATGGACAACACTCAAATGTCTGTTTTGGATTATCATTCCCCCACCACCACCCAAATATCTCTTTTCTAAGTTTTAGATGTGTAGCGAATTTTATGTAGTGTGATAGGGGTTCCCTTCTACCCCCCTTTGTTTTTTTTAATCTGTACAATTTTGGGCAATTTTTGTTGGACTCCGAAACCAAGAAGCCTCAAAACTGGTAAGAACGTTTAAGCTATCAAGAACTTCTGAATCCGCCGACAGTCCAGGTAAATGGGGGAAATGCTGTGTTTAATGAAGACAAGATAGTCAGTGGTATGGGTAGAGAAGTCGAAAACAGCAAACGAAGAGAGAAACCTTCAAATGTCTTTAATTACTTTTATTCCGATAGATGATCGTGTCCGTAATGCTTAAATATTATTCCAACGTCTGTTACTGCTGATGAAGGGTTGAATGTGTGTGAATTAGCTTTATTTTTTTTTAAAAAAAACACCCCTGTCTTTTAGGTGAGTTGTACATGTAGTCCTCATTTAGCAACCATTCGCAGTTATGACCATGATGAAAAAGTGGTTTCCCCCCCCCCACCAGTCCTTGCATTGATGACTTTCGCGGGTCTGTAAAACAAAGCAGGCCACATAAGAGGAGTTTTGCAGTTTCACTTGGCAACTGCTTCACTTAATGACCGTGTTGCCTGTGCCATTTGGGGTGGCTAAAGGAAGACTGCCCGTAGAGGCTTAGATTTGGTTTCTTCTATGCGATCAGCTGATTTGCGATTGTCAAGTAACAAATACGCGCGTATGAATCAATCTCTGTTTGCATATGTTGATGCATCTGAAGTTACAGTTGGTCACAGTTGGGACCAGAATTTCTGTCACTAAGCAATGTAGTCATTAAGTGAGTCACAATGTGACTGGACTTGATTTTATGACTATGTTACTGCAGACATTAAGTGAACCAAATAGCCGTTGAATGAATCACACAGTGAGTAATTGAACCCACTTCTTTAATTAATTCCCCCCCCTCCCAAAAAAAACCTGTCTGGCAGAGGAATTCTGGGAGTTGAGGTCTGCACAACTTAAAATGAGCAAGGTTGAGGAATCTGTGTTCGTTTTTGTTGTTTTTAAGTTGGCCTGGTGTATCTTGAGTGTGTGGCAATGACAAAGTAGAACCGGCCTATTTTAAATGGAGGTTAAAACATATAAAGAACGGTTGCTGGAACTGGGTATTTCCAGTCTGATGAAAAGAAGGACCAGGGGTGACATGATAGCTGTCTTCCAATATCTCAGAGGTTGCCACAATGGAGAAGGGGTCAAGCTATTCTCCAAAGCAGGACAAGAGGCAACAGATGGACACTAATCAAGGAGAGAAACAAGCTAGAACTAAGAAGAAATTTCCTGACAAAACAATCAGTGGAACCACTTGCCTCCAGAAGCTGTGAATGCTCCAACACTGGAAGTTTTAAAGAAGAGGTGGGAGAACCATTTGTCTGAAGCGGTGTAGGGTTTCCTGCCTAGGCAGGGGGTTGGACTAGAAGACCTCCAAGGTCCCTTCCAACTCTGTTATTGTATTCCATTCTAAATGAAACTGCATGTTCTTGTTTCGTTTTTTTTGAAGGGTGTCCATTGAGAAAGGGAATTATTGATTGTGCCTGGGGTTAGTTTCATGTAACTAATAGAATTTGTGTTTGCTTGCCAAATGCTCCCAAGGTAGGTTGCAAATGACAATTGCACAACCCCAGGATTCTTGGTCAAGCATCCCAAGTTTGACCACACGGCTGTGGGGATGCTGCAGCGGTCATATGTGTGAGAACTGGGCATAACCCCCTTTTTTTCAGTGCCATTGAAACTTTGAACAGTCATTTAACAAATGGTTGTAAGTTGAGGACTAGTAAACCAAACAGTTAATTCAGAAGAACGCAGCTTCAGATATTCAAAATTCAAGATTTGGGGTCCAGAAGGAGTTCAGAGTTCACATTTCAATGTTTTGAAGCGTCCATTCCTTGGCCGCTTTCAGCCCCGCGGGCTTCAATTTCCCAGAATTCCCCAGCCAGCCGTGCATGGGAATTCTGGGAATTGAAGCCCACAGGCCTGAAAGTGGCCAAGGATGGACAGCCCCGAGTTAGATTCTCACTATGCCTCTTTCGATGTTCTGAACATTTGTCACAAGGCTCGTGAAAGGTGAATGGAGTGTGTGTTAATTACTAATCGCTGATTGCACCATTTATTTGGTCTTCGGAAGGTGTCAGTTGTCTCCTTGAGGAAGTGGAGCTTAAATAACCAGGCCATGGAAGACAACATTCACATCCATGCTTGGTCCTGCTCCTATTATCTCAACTCGGAGAAACAATGGGTTCCCGGCAAACTCCTGCTGACACCAGTTTCGGTCAAATTCACGGCGGACAAATCCGGGGAGATCCTGGCCAGCTTCCCGCTTTCCTCCATCAGTGAGATCAAGAAAGAATCGTCCACCTTAATCTTCAGCTCCCTCACCCTTTTGGAGAGAGACACCAAGCATTGGTTCAGCTCCCTTCAACCCAACCGAAACGTGATCTTCAATGTGCTGGAACATTTTTGGAGAGAGCAGCTCCTCTCCCCTGGGGGAGCCAGGCCGCAGGCGGCGTGCGCCCAGACCTCCAAGGGCAGAGAATTGACCGGCTTGCTGGCGGGATCCGAGAAGCGCCTGGAAGACACCGCCAAGGTGCTGGAGAACCAGGGCGAGCAGTTTGATAACATCATGAAAGGCCTGGACAAGATTGAGTCGGAGATGGATGTGGCGGACAGGTATGGCGACACGCCAGGGGGGCTCTGATCGCCATGGGTGCGTGGGATCCGGTCATCCCCAGGGTGGGCCATAGAGTTGGCGCATGGGGGAACATCCGGAGGTCTGCTTTGCTTGGAGTCCTAGAGGACCCTCATTGGCAGAGGGGGCTCGTCCTCAAAAACCAGCGGAGAGCCGCAGCTTAAAAGTCAGAGGCTACTTTCAGAGAATTATTTAAATTCAGGAATACTTTCTCCTGAAACAAGGGCAAATAGCTGCGTTGGGAAAGGACCGCAGTCCAAGGTTGGTTTAATATGGGAAGGCCTCAACTTAATATGGGAAGGCCTCAACGCTGCAGTTGGGACCGGAAGAGAGCCAGTTTGGGGTAGGAGTTGAGGAGAAACTGCCTAGAAACCAGGAAGAGACCGAGTTCTAGTCCCTCCTTAGGCGTGAAAATTGGCTGGGTAACATCAGGCCAGTGGTGAGCAATCAAATGGTGAGTTCTAGTCCTGCATTAAGCAAGAAAACTGGTTGGGTGACTTTGGGACAATCACCAGGTGACGGTGAGTTCCAGTCCCACCCTAGGAATGAAAGTCAGCTCGGTGAATTTGGGCCAACCATCAGGTGACAGTGAGTTCTAATCCCGCCTTAGGCATGAAAGAAGGCTGGATGACTTTCATCCAACCAGATGGTGAGTTCTAGTCCCACCTTAAGGATAAAAACTGGCTGGGTGGCTTTGGGACAGTCACCCTGAGACCATGAGTTCTCGTCCCGCCTTAGGCACGTAATCAGGCCGGGTTTTGGACTCTCCACTACCTTGAACTAGTTACAAAATTAAATAAAGTTGGGATAAAAAAAAAAAATCTAATAAAAATCCAGTCGTTAAATCTGAGCGCTCCTGTGACTGGAAGCAATTTCATTACCCCCTTTTTTGTGGGGTTCATTAAGAGAAGGCACCAGTCGTGAGCGTGAATCCATTCATCCAAATGGCTATTTTTATTTCTTTGCCACCAAAAAAACCCCACCTATAAATAGCCATCATGGCCCTGCATGCAATGTTGTAAACAGGCATAAAGATTACTGGCTGCTAAGTGCCCAGCATCCAGGCACGTAATCCTGGGAGCGGGTTGTGTGGTGTGACCATTTGTGACACTGGTCCTCTTTGGGTGGGGTGTGTGTGTGTGTGTGTGTGTGTGTGTAAGTGTGTAAGAGGGGCTGTTGGCCTTCCAATCCTAATGAACTGCCGTTCCCAGCAGCTCCAGCCAGCCCTGTCAGTAGGAAGAGCTACCAGGTG